CTTAGTCCTCAAAGTAACAAGCATCCTTGCTCTTCAGCTCTTTATGACAAAGGAGCTATTTTGAGATTTTAAAATATGCCCTCACACGTGAGCTACCAGGGTGAATTTACTCTGAGAGCAGTGAAACGCATGGTCCGGATTGGTGTATTCGCAATTGAGGGCATGGTAAGCACAGGTCTAAATTACTTGGTTTCTTGAACAGTCTGGCAGAAATGGGGTGGTGGGGTGGTGGGGGGGGTGGTGGTGGTGGTCAAATCAGAGGAGAAAAAAAGGGATGAAGCAGAAACTGAAATTTTTAAAAGTAGGAAAATTGAAACTGCATGAAGTTGCATTTAAATCAGGCAGACCTTTAGCAACTTGCTGGGCTTGTCAGTTTATCATAGAGGGAACATTAAAGACCTTGCTCATAAAATGGACCCCAAACATCCCACTCACCTACACAAATCTGCACATCGGCTCTCTGTGGTGATCTCCATCATGGAAAAAAAAAATTTTTGCCACTAGATCCAACTCTTGCCCCAATAGCCCTAACTTTTGCATTTCCATTTCAAACAATTCCATTTCCATTTTAAGGAGGGTGATTTTTCCCCAACTGGCATTTCGTGGGAGCAGGTGCTGTGCGGGTCACAGCTTTTAATCTATAGGATCTTCACATCTGGAGGCCAGAGCTCATCGCCAGGCTGCTCTCCTATCAGCCATCACTATCTGCACTGTTTCAAGGTTCTGTCTTTTTTGTAACTCATGCGTTTTTGGCATCCTCCATAACAGATTGGCCAATATGATTCATTCTCTCTTTGAGTGCAATTAGCTGTGAAAACAGATCTTAGAGCAAGCCCCCCACCCCCACCCCCCGGATTACTGAAGGTAGGAAGTGCAGGTGATTATCAGCGTGCCTTTGATAAAGACATCCTGCTCCCCTTTGAACTAACTTTGATATGCAGTAATTAGGAGCTATCCAACCCCTGGAGGAGAAGCCGCTGTGGCCCTGCCTCTTCTCTCCCTCTGTTAAGTCCTTGTTTTGAACTGTTGATCAAACAGATTTGAAGGGATTTGTTGAAGCCTGTGTGGGCCCAGGCGGAAGGAAATGAGTAGGGAGGGGGGGTAGAGAGAAATGAAGGGGACAGACACATCTGGCTATAAATTGGTTTAAAAGCAACCCACTGGTTGCGTCTCGCTCGCCTCATTCCACAGCCCTTCAGACGAAGGTTGGCTTCTTTCCGGGAGGTGGGTGGAGAGCATCTACAGGCTTGTTCATTTGCGGCTTGGTAGAAGCTGTCTGGAGGACGCCGGAGTCCTGAGACCCTCAGGGTGACCCAAGGATGGTGGTGCTGGTCCTACTGGGGCTCAGCTGGCTCTGCTCACCTGTGGCAGCGCTGGTCCTGGACTTCAACAACATCAAGAGCTCTGCCGACGTGCCCCCAGGGGCACGCAAGGTAAGATGCCAGGGCAGGAGAGGGTGCACCTGGGGGCTGAGGATGCATGACTGGGTGGTGTGTTTGCAGTTACGTAAATCATGCAAACTAATGAGTCCACGACCTGACCTTATCTTGAGGCGAAGCTGGCTTGATTTAGGAGCTGGGAAGGCTCCCTGATAAAATCCCCAAAGCCTTGGCATCTTCTTGTCCCTAGGTGTACCCTCTTATGTTTGAGCCCATTGTTGGCAGCGACTGTGCCAATCCATCTCATTAAGGGGCTCCCTCCTTTTCACTGCTTCAGCTGTCTACTACTTGACCAAGCACGGGGTTCCTCTCCAGGGACGGGTCTCTCCTGACGTGTCCCAAGTACTTGAGATGAAGTCTAGCCGTCCTGGCCGATAAGGAGCCTTCTGGCTGTAGTAATAGCACAGTATGAAAGCTTTCCGGAGCATTCAACAATGAATCAGGAAGTAGACTGGCATTTAAAAAGCTCTACTATCCAGCCAGGAGCTACTGGCAAAACGAGGCTCTCTCGTTGAGCTCCTGTCAAGAGGGACCTTTCGGAAACACACCTGGCCGGTTGCTCTGCCCTGCCCTACAGGGTCACTGTGAGTCTGACTCAACGGCAGGGATTTCGGTTTGGTGAGATACCATCTGCCAGGCCTTTTATACACAGCTTCCCAATTAATCTTTGTCGCCACTTGAGGTCGGTCTCAAACCTTCTAAATAAACATGAAGAAAATAAACCTCAGACTCG